TGTGTGTGTGTGTGTGCAGCTGGTATACTGGGCCAGTCAGCAGCAGGATCAGGATGAGAAGATGGCTGGCTGTGTGTTTCCAATGGGACCAGAGAGCTTTCAGCGCTTCACGCCGGACTCCCTGGCGGCCATCGAGCAGCGCATCGCCCAGGAGGAGGCCCGACGCAACAAACACTACCAGGAGGTGCGTCAAAACAAACACACACACACAGCTCACACAAGCACAACAAGATGCTGGAGGGTAAACGTGGAAATAAAGAAGTGAGCTGTTATAAGCAGACAGATGTGAGATATTTCAGATGTGGTTTGTGTGTCTTTGTGTGCGTCAGGACCTGGGCGACGTGGAGCTCCCCCGGCCCCGGGCTGATCTGGAGGCAGGAAAACAGCTGCCACGCATCTTCGCTGACATCCCATCTCATCTGGTGGGCGTTCCACTGGAAGACATCGACCCATACTACTTCAAAGACAAGAGGGTAGGTCACCCAGAGAGAAAGTGTGTGTGTGTTTCTGGATGTACCTTCTCCGCTGTTGGAGAGGATCCCTGGAAGATTCTCTGAGGACCACAAGAGAGTTACCTAGTGTGTGTGTGTGTGTGTGTGTGTGTGTGTGTGTGTGTGTGTGTGTGTGTGTGTCCTGGATTGCTCACGAATCTGTTTACATGGTAATATTGTGGAGACTTAACCATGTAAATAGGACAAATCAGCTGACTTCAGACTTCATGTAACCAAAAATATTTAGTCAAAGCCGATCGATTCCACAAGGAAGCAGGTGGAAGCCATTTTTTATTCTTTTTTTAGTTATATTTGATAAGTTATCTGATTAATATCGTGGGTTGATGTGAGATACAAACCATCCCAGAAGTCCGTGTTTTGGTTTTGGTGAGTGGATTTCTATTATTTTTTAGTCTGCGATGGAGCAGACACTCTAGGACGATATCCTCCCTGTGATTGGGAAAAGTTGGTGATTTTTCAGTGATTGCATTGAATTTTTCCTGATTCTGGGACAGAAAAGCTCTCAGACAGATTGGCGAAGGTTTGGAAATAACTGCCGTCTAACAGACTAACATGTTTCAGTCGGTCGGAGTCAATCTGCACCGATGAGCACAACTCATCTGCAATGCGTCTCTTTGAAATAGTTCTCGATTGGTTGGTTCTGGTTATTTTCTGAGCCCCTCAGGAGGAGGCTCAGAAAATAACCTCTGTCTCAGATCTGAAGTTCTGGTTGTGAGTAGCTAAGGTGAATTGCTTTTTGTATATTTTAAGATTTTGCAACACATCGCACAGTTTTGTGATTTTTGCCAGTTTTTCACAGTTAAACATGGTTTTATCACAAACTGATTGCATGTATATTTGCCAACTTAACCCCCTTCAATCACAAACTGATGGAAACACACTGATAGCAGACCGACTTCATCCTGTTGCCACTTTATTGGCGTCTTGGTGAAAGTTTTTCTGCAGTTGCCAGCCACTGTTTTCTCTCTGTAGATGTAGCTGTAGCATTATTTAGCACTAATTAGCCAATATGCTTTTCTCTAGCTAAGACTGTTAGCATTGGCCACAGATCTCCAAACCAGACGGTGGCTCGTCCAGGTCTTATTCAGTCTTTGGGACTGACTAACTCCTGGAGCCAGCCTCCAGTAGAGCCTGCCAGGAACAATCTACATACTATTCTCAAAATTTATGTAAACTAAACTGCAAATCTACTGTTATAGAAAATACTACATGTATCAGATCTTATGGTTTGTTACATTTCAGAGAACTAAAATAATTTAAAGTAGATTAATCACTTCATTATTTACAGAAAGATTATACATGAAAAAATCTTAAAGCCATAGAGATGAACAGTTTACCCACCCTAAAACCACAAACCCAAGACACAGCACCCATGTTATTTAGAAATAAATTCTAAGGAATAAAAATGGAGGCCTTGGCTCCCCGGTTCACTGCTTTAGTGCCTTTTTTGGCAGCACAGTGCATTATTAATAAAATCTGTGTATTTATGTATTTTTCTGTCTGGTTCTCCTGCAGACGTTCATAGTCCTGAACAAAGGGAAGGCCATCTTCCGTTTCAGTGCCACATCCGCCCTCTACATCTTCAGCCCCTTCCACCCTATCCGGAGACTCGCCATCAAGATCCTCGTGCACTCATATCCTTAAGTACACAAACTCTGCTGCTACTGTCTGTACTTGCCTTATGATCTGCAGAGAAATGGCTGCGGGTGGGGGTCAGGGGTCAGTTACAGAGGAGCCTCCAGTGCTTTCAGTGTGTGCTGAAGGATGCTGTGTGAGAGAAGCCAGGCCACCCTCACGGCAACAGAAGCAGTTGTTGTGGTTGTTGTTTTGCCTTCGTCTGCTTCACTGCGTCTCATTGTGACTGACGGGGCAGCGATATCTCGGATACTGTTTTATTTTGATCACAACCATCAACACGCAGTCCCGTTTAAAGAGACCATCACGCAGTTTCACAAGTAAAGATTAGAGGGTTAGAAAAGCTTAGCTTCATTCTTATCAGAAAATATTCAAATTAAAATCAGAAAATAAATATTAATATAAACTAAAAGTCAAGTTTAAAGAGCAGGAGGGTCTAAGACAAGGTTGCATCATGGGAAATGTAGGCTCCAGGAGATTTGAACGTAATGTTTTAGTCTCTGCTGCTTTTCTTAAACAAAGTCCAGTCTCACCTCAAACAAACAAATAGATAAATTAGATAAGGATTTCAATGATTAATTGTTATATGTGAGCATTTATTGGTAATATTGGATTTCAGGTTGTTGAGCAGTGTTAGGATTTGTCATTGTTTCCTTATTTTAGAGGTACGAGAGCGCGTGAGCTGATCACAATAACAATCCCAGTCGCACTGATGATGATAATTATTCATTATGCTCCTGCTTTTTACAGAATTTGCTAGGGCAGTTATGTGAGCATTGACTGTACAGCAGTACATCTAAGGTCCTTAAAGATAAAAGACAGGGGACAGCTTCCTGGTGTTTGTTGAATGTGCTGATTGGTTGGCACCACAAAAAGTCAAGATCCTGTAAATCTACGTATACATACCGTGTATGCATGTGGGCCTGGCACACAGCCGGATTAATGATGCTGTATGTTAACTGAAGAGGTGTGAGATAAAGGTTTAAAGGTCCAGCTCTGTGCTGACAGGTGAACGTACACAAAGTCTGTGTGATGGGTGGCATGCTAACTGCTCAGCTTATGTTATGTTGAAGGATAGCAGAACTAATGCTAACACGCTTTCAGTGTAAATCAAAACTCATTATTCTGCATGCCTGCTGGAAACACATGAAACGTATTTAACAGTTCGATAAGTTCCTCTCTCTGGCCAGAAGAGGGCAGCTCCTCTGGAAACAGTCACTGTGAACACAACCGAACTACTCACTTGATTTTTCCCTCTTAGAAAATATTTAATGTCAGTAAAATACTCAAGTAAATGTACTCTGATTCCTAACGGTCCTATTCAAGCTCTGGTGTAATGGTGTAGGGGATCATTTGGTGTGGCAGCACCAGCCAACAGAGGTGTGGACTCGAGTCACATGACTTGGACTCGAGTCAGACTCGAGTCATTATTTTTATGACTTTAGACTTGACTTGAAAAAATGTTCTAAGACTTGTGACTTGACTTGGACTTTTACACCAATGACTTGGGACTTGAACCGGTTTACTTGAAAAGACTTGATATTTCACCCCAAATATAAAATTTAACATGCATATTATATAGAGATTGAAAATGTGACGTCATTCAGGGGTAGAACCGCAAAGGATTCTGGGAACTCGTGGCAAGAGGTACTAGCGCACGCAGGCTTTCAATTGAAATCAGTCACACAGCGATAAAAAGAAACACAAAAATGTCAAGAAGCTGTTGTATTATTAACTGCAATAGCCGGTCGCATGACAGCCACGGGAAGCCGACGGGTAAAGAGATCGGTTGTTATCGGATTACGTCGTTGAAGAGAAATTGTTCGAGCCATGTTTCCGAAGTAACAAAGAGGCGACTGGATTGCAGCCATTCAAAGACCAAATATAACGTCCCAGAACACTCCAGCTCACAGGTTAGTCTGCTCCAAGCATTTACACGAAGGTCAGTGTTTTTTAGTAGTTAATACGTCATTTTCATAACATAATTGGTGATATAGGTTACAAGCAAGTCTGGCGCTGAACAGAAATTGTCGCGCTATGCTCCTTTGTTTATTGTGCATAAATAGTGAATTGTCCTGACACAATATTGCGTTTCGCTTCTGTTATTATGGTACATTGACAAAAACATATACTTTTATTCACAGGATAAAACAGTTGTTTTGTATCACTAATTGTCCAGTACGATTACAGCATACAGTATTATTGTCACTGCTACATTTCTGTGATGCTACCAGAAATTATTTCCACTACTAATTAATTACCGTTGAGCTCAAAGGTCCTATTAATAAACGGTTAACGAATGTGTATTTATGACGACGATTTGTGAGACTGGTAAACTTATGATACGTACGATGGTCTTTCGTTCTACACGGTGCATTTCAAGGTCCTGCACCCATCCGTCGGTAAACTGTACCTGGGCTTGTTGCAGTGACCTGAAGTTACTAAACTTCATGAGTGTATGCACTCACTCCAAGAACCGTATGATTATAAATATGCATATAAATATGCTACGATGAGATAGCTGACTTCATCTAACTAGCAAATGTTGTCCAGGCTACGTTGGTGATGCAGTTTTTTTTAATGTGTATGATATTTTTGTCATGCGATTTTAAAGCCGGTCCTACAACCGCATCCAAGAATAACATGCAGCTTATCTCAGAACTGTCGGTGAAAATTATTCTTGGAGCTAGGTTTAATTGAGCTGCATTTTAAAGAGGTGCAATTTCACAATTTGTGTATATTTTCTAAGTTCACTATTTTGTCATGTGTTGAGAAAAACACAGATTTTAAAATTACATGGTCTAATATTTACATTTAGCATAACTGCAACATTATTTTTTCGTTTTTTTTTTTTAAAGACTCGAAAGGACTTGAAATTCAAAGTTTCAGACTTGAGACTCGACTCTGACTTGCCTGACATTACTTAACTTGACTTGAGACTTGAGGATAAAGACTTGAGACTTACTTGAGACTTGCAAAACAATGACTTGGTCCCACCTCTGCCAGCCAATCATATGTTTGAAAGGAGTGGAGGTTGCTGCGTGTGGTAGGTGGGGGACTGTGCCACCCCCATGGTGTGGTGTGGATACTTCCCTGACAGTAGAGTAAAGCTCACATTTGAATACTCCAGTTGTGTTAGTGAACGTATCTTGTTAATTAAGGCACTAAGGTTCTCATAGCTTTCAGAAATGTTCCATATTTCACTGTAATCAAAGTTGCGTATGATTAACATATCTGTTAGCTTAACTCACAGATGTGTAAAGTTAAACTAAGCAAGTGTTTGCTGTCGGTAGTTCAGATGATTTTTTTTTTCAGCGAGGTTAGTTAAAAACTGCCATCCTTATTAATATCAGTTAAAAGCAGATGCTTTTTGCTAGCCAAGCCAGCTAGCTGGTCCAAAAGTGACGTCTAGTTTCAGACTGCTAAGATGATCCTGGGCTAAACGGGTCGGTCTACACAAAGTCTGTGTTAAGCTGATTCTTAACAAATCAGATCTGGCTGTAAACAGTCAGGGGATGCCTTTTATGAATAAAGTGAATACCTTGACCTATTCAGCTAAAGGCCAATTCCTGCATTTCTGTGCTCAAAACTCTTTAATTTCACAGATTAGAGCTTTTCTCATTGTAAGAAAATGGAAGCAGAAAAACAAAAATAAAGCGACTGTTCAGCGTTTTATGGAAAAAAGTTAAACAAATGTAAATTATTAATGTGAAATAAAAAGACTTTTTATTTGATAAAAATACATAAAATAGTATCACTCTTATCAGAATATATTTATGGTTCAAGGTTCAAGGTTCTTTATTATTTGTCACATGCATAGTTATACAAGTATAACACACAGTGAAATGTAGCCTGACACGCTCCTCGACATGTGCAAAAATTGAGGGGGGGGCTGTAGAGAAAGATGCAAGACATTACAGGTCTGCATACCAATAGTCATCAGATATTTGTCGGAGACATTAACGGTGTAATCGTTGTTTGGCTGCTTTAGACAGACGTCTCTTTACATCCTCCAGTGGTGAGTTTATACTGGGTCCCACAGCTGGACGGTCTCCAGGCACACGCACAGTAATGACAGCATATTAAGCGATCATGTCAACTGACTGTGTGTGTGTGTGTGTGTGTGTGTGTGTGTGTGTGTGTGTGTGTGTGTGTGTGTGTGTGAGAGAGAGAGAGAGAGACAGAATCAGAGGGCTCGTACTGTCGGTCGTATTTCTGAGCCAGGTATCATCTTGAGCTGTCTGGTGAGCCGTAAACATGGCCAGTAAATACTGCACAGCCTTCATCAAGGTGGCACACATGCACACACATGCACACAGGTGAATATACAGGCATTACAGGGACACACACACACAGAAATATTGTGACTATAATCTCTCTGCTGACCAAATCTCTGAGTTTGTTCCTGGAGGAGTGTCGACCTTTGACCTTTGACTTATAGCCTGTCAGGAGCTCTTAATATGTTTGCTTGTTGTGGTTTCTTAACACCTGTAGGCAAGCCGGAGTGTAGTCTGGATTTAAAAATTAAGAAGTGGTGAAAAAATCAGAAATATACATATCGTATATATACATGTGACAAATTAAAGGAAAATCTGAATAAATTAATGAATTAAAAAAAACCCACAATGAATGCAGGTGTTTCCACACAGGTGCTCTGCCTGTTGTAATTGAGCAGTTACCATCCATTCATGCTCTGTGGAGTGTGCACACCCAGCTGATCCTGATTTTGTTACAAGCTGTCATGAGGAAAAGGTCTAAGTGACTCTGAAAAGGGGGCATTTATGTGACGAGCGTCACTGTCAGCTTCTGGCTCAGCTGCTTTCAGCAGGAAGATAGATGGAGCTTCTGGGTCTTAAAACTGAATTCTTTCAGTTGCCACCAGGGGGCGATGCCTGCAGTTGGAGAAAGACTATAAAGTCTACACAAAAGCCTTTCCCTGACTTGAACTCTGTAAACTGCTCAGTTTGTCACCTCAGTCGCTCATTTTGGGTCATATTGA